CAACACAGAGCATAGACTCCTGACAGCGGTACATCGTCTCTGCTTCGACGTCACCAAACCACACACGCAGGTTGGGGCTGAAGCTCTCTCCAGTGAGCTCCAACATGGCGACGTCACCACCTCCATTTAGCTGTGAAAACAAAATTTGGGAATGAGTCTTCATCAAAAAATCAAAGAAGTATGGAGAATCTGAATCAGAAATCCAACCTCATATAGTTTAAACATTTTAAATGATGATGGAACAGCACACTGATTTTTTTCTTTCAAAATTCACATGAGAAAACTCCCCCCATAAATGAAATCAACTATCATACCAAGATTTTGCCAACAGCAGGCAGGGAATGTCAGATACTTACGTGCAGAGAATTGACAATAGGTACTGGTGTGACAGGAGCACGGACAGGACCCATGCCCTCATAGAACTGGTATTCAGCCTTGTCTGTGCTGATGATGGTCCAGGAGGCCCCGTCATTGATCATCTCCTTGTTGGGTTCTCTGGGACAGGGGGTGGCCTGAGAAAGCAAGGTGTCCTGTTAGCTGACTGGCAAAAATACAAAACCAATTATGGAATATGTGAGGAGGGTGGTATTCTTCTACCGTCAAAAATAAAAACGAATGTACATGTGAGGAGAGTGGTATTCTCCTACAAATGTACACAAGTATCAATAATGAACCAAGGTTTAAGAGAGAATAAGCAAGGCTCCTAAAAACAACAAAACACACACACAAATCCCGCCATCCTCTCACCTGGAACTGAATGATGCGCTCCTGACTGAGGCACAGGTACATGCGCTCCGTGTCCTTCATGTAGAAGGCGCACTTGTGCAGCTGTGAGACGGGGTCGTCGGCGTCCATGAGGGCCGTCTGCTTGTCCACCTTCCGGATGATGAGTCTGGGCAGCGCCATGCCCGTCGCGGCACACACCAGCTTCACCGTCGACCCGTAGTGGATGTACCCGTCGCGCACGCTGAACTCCTCGCTCTCGCTCTCGTTGTCGTCCACTGCGGGAGGGAAGGGAAGGTGTGAGTGGCTTTGCTCTTGAACTGGTGTTGGGAATACCATTACTGGAGGGTTATCCCCGTGATTAACACTTCAGGATTGTTAATGGTTGCGGGTAATCTGATTTTTTTTAATGTGCATGTTTTCATTTATTTATTATTTCTTTTAGGGGTATACCAGTGGGCTTCCTAATGCGTCCATCTTTAACGCTTTTCGAAAGGACTTTTAATCCTTCAAGTTTTGTTTTACATCGATCATGAAAGACAATCTATCCCATCATTTGATTTAACCTCAATTTCTATCTTTCTATTACAGTTTTGAAGAAGTGGGAATTTCCTAAGGCAAATAACCAACAAAGTAAATCATAAAAAAAAATCAAATAATCCACAAATGTCACCCTTCAAAGTTCACATGAGGAGAGCACAAAGTATGAGCAAGTCGGGGCGCAGAGATACAGTTAAAGTTCACACCAAAACACACACGAAAGAAAGTGTATCACCACTCAAGACAAGACGAAACAACAAAATAAAAGTAAAAAAGAAAATAATAATAACAATAAAAAAAAAAAACAAAGAAGAAGAAATAAGCGAGAAAAAAAACTTTCTTCCGTTAAACAAATCAAAACAAAATGTAACTGACAGCTCATCCCCAGACAGCGAATGCAGTCGAATCCCAAAATGGAGGAGAAATAAGTCCTTTCCTTTTCTCTCAACGCCTAAAATGACCTTCTTCAATCTTTAACAAACCGAGACGAAAACACTGAAATCTTAAGGAAGGCGAGAGACATAAAAAATACACACATACCTCCCCCTCCCCCCTCTTACCCGGTAAATTACGCTCTATAATGCCCGTGTGAACATCCGAAATATCGGAAAGCCATTTGTGAAAGATGCAAGGAAAGCAAGCGAGAGATAAAAGTGCAAGGTGCATAATGGATGTGCACCTGGCAGGAGGCACCGACCACCTCAATCCTTCCCACCGTCAGCTGTTCCCCCCAACCCCCACCCCTACCCCTACTCCCACTACCTCCCCTCCCCTTTTCCCCTTCTCTATCCCCGTTCTTCCCCCCTCCCTCCCTCTCTCTCCATCCCTTTCTTCCCCCCTCCCCCTTCCCCTTCATCCTTCTTTCTTCCCCTCCCCGTCTCTCCCCACCCTCCCCCATCCCCTACCACCCACCTTACTCCTCCCTCATCTTCCTCACTCCCTCCCTCTATATCCCCTCCTCCTCCTCCTCCCTTCCTCCCTCCCCTCCCTATCCCCTCCTCCATCCCTACCCCCTTCCCCCTCCCCCCCCGCTTTCAACCACACGCGAAGACACAACTACACCGCAGTTGCATGTGCATCCACTTACGCCCGCGCCTCCTTGCAAATCATCTTGCACACATGTTCGCAAACACGACCAAGCAGCCGCTCTCCCTCTCCCCGCCTGATCTTTCTTTTTCTCTCTCTCTCCCTCTCTTCTCCTTTTTTTCTCTTTCTTTCTCTCCATCTCTTCCTTTCTTCTTCATCTCCTGTTCATGTGTTTATCCATGCATCCTTAGGTTATCATTCCAATTGTAGAAGTAAAACACACACACACACACACACACACACACACACACACACACACACACACACACACACACACACACACACACACACACACACACACACACACACACACGTAAAACCAAACAGTCGATTTGCTCTCATGAGAACTAACCTTGTACTTATCATCATAAAAAACAAAAGAGTTCAAACGACGCACATAAGAAAAAAAAAAACTTACAACGCATACGCACACACACATACATTTCACGACCGAATTACTTGTACGTGATGTAATTTCGTCGCCGGTCCGTCGTGGCTGCGTAATGCGTGCATAATCATTCCGTTTATGTGTTTATATCCGCGCGCAACGGTGGGGAAAAAATTAATAATGATCGGACGGTAACAGTCATTACAAAAAAAAAAAAAAAAAAACGCCCGCCCTTCCCTCTTTCCACGAGCAGCTCCCACGACCCTGCCTGGTTGTGTGACCGACTGCCTGACTGGCGACTGATTCTGTTGCGGAAATATTTGTTGATGAAGAGAAACACATTCCCGTCGTTGAAACAGTCGTTAATAAAAAAGAAAAAAAAAAACGCTCAAAAAGGGGGGGGGGAGTCAGTCGTTCATTTAAATAAGATAAAAAACTGAGTCAGTCACTCCAACAACAATAATCACAGTCGCTTGATAAAAAAAAAAAAAAAAAAATAAAAAATAACCCACCAACATATCCAACCAACAACAACCATACTAACAACACCAACAACCCCACGAAGGAAATACTTACGCAAGTGTATCGTGAAAGCGCCCCACTGCGTCGACGAAGCGTGGAAGTTGCCGTTCTCGACGTGCAGGTACCGCGTGGACACCGTCTGGGAGCGCAGGCGGTTGAACAGCGCCACTTTCGTGCCCGACGCGATGCACACTGCGGAAGGGGGGGGGGGTTAGTCTCCAAGGCACAGGGAGGCATGTAGAAAAAGGCTATTATGTTGCTACAATAGACGGGGGTGCTCAAAAGACACCCGTATATCCCTATATTACATGCACACATTGTTTGTGTGCATGTAATAGACGGGGGTGCTCAAAAAACACCCGTATATCCCTATATTACATGCATAACTGCGCGCACACACTTGTACGCATATACACATACATATATTTTTTTCCATTTATATAACAGCTTTAATTTACAAAATCTGAAAACATATACTCAAACATTGGCAATAGTAAATACATGTTTTAAATTAATATTCCTTTATATAATTATGAGAAATAAAGCAAATAAAAATTACCTACATAATTGCATGGAAATATGAATCCCACTTGAGTGAAATCCAACTTGATTTAATCTTTTAAATATGCGCCGAAGAGTATACTTAATATCATAAGAGTAATATCCTATCTCAAAGTCTTTGGAAGGTGTATTGTGTAAACCTGTATTTCCTGAGAACTTCCCCAACGCCGGCGATTTTATCTTTTTCAAATTCTTAAATGGTGTTGGAACGCTCCTGCTGCCGACGCTCACAAGAAAACAACAAAGCCCAAGAAACACACACAAAAGAAATGAAGAACATAAAACAAAACAGAACTTCAACTCGAGTACAAAAAAAATAAAGAAAAGCGAAATAATTCGAAATCCAGAGAAAAAAAGGCAGAAAAATACCCGCGTGTCACTTCCCGCCTCGTAGAAAATGGCGTCCGCGGTGACAATAACTCGAAGACCTCGGTGAGCGCGGCAGTTGACGTCGCTTACACCAGCAAGTCATAAACACGGGGCTTGGGATCGACAGGGAGAGGGCGAAGGAAAGGGGTGGAGGGTGGGAGAGAGAAAGAGGATAGGACGAGGAAGAAGAGTTGGAAAGGAATGGATGAAAACAGAATGTGAATGGCAATAAGAGAAAGAAGGAAGATAATCAGAATGAGCATGAGAATGAGAATAAGAATAAGGTGGAAGTGACGACGACGACGGCAACAATGACGAGGGTGAAGGAAGAGGAAGAAGAAGAAGGAAGAAGAAGGAAGAAGAGAAAAACAACAAGCTCCCCCAACCCAAACCAAGATCAAACAGAGCTTGACTAAGGACTCGCCGCGGATCCTCGTCCGCCGCGGCGCGCAGGAGTTCCGCATCGGACAGGTGACGGCGGAAACAAGGTGATCCTCCGGCCCGGCTCCCAACCCCCAACTTTCAGTTTTCTAACCGCATAATCCCGGAGCAGCCATTACGGAGCCCGGCGCGGCGGAGGCGTAACCCTCGCGCTGCAGGTGTCACGCCAAAGTGATCATTACCGCCGGGATATATAGGGGCCACGACAGGACCCGACGGCTGCCTCGCGTCCTGCCCCTCTTCCAGGTCAAGAGGGGCCCGCAAATGATCGTAATTTTACTGTTATTACATCCAGCCGCGCACAGAGCTCCCTTCGCGCCGACAGAGTAGAGCACAGGAGGACCCGCCGTTCCTTCCTCCCCCAGAGTGA